TGGAAGGGCACCGGCAGAGGGAGGCCTGATTAGGGAAAGTATGCCTCGGTTTAAGAATGGTTTCGGTTTAAGGACGGACTTCTGGAACAGATTAGGTTCATAAATCGAGGTACCACTGTATTTGGTTACATTTTATTATTTGTCTATTGGGGTAGGGATGGTAAGTTTCCTTGAAATTTCCTTTGAAGATTATTCAATCTATTTAGGCAACTTTTCACCAGCCTTGGAAGTTTATTTCATTTAATGTAATAAACACTGAACATATTGATTTCATTCTTATATAATGAAAACAGTCTATTTTAAGTGAATAAGACTGTGTTTGTGTGAAAAATGCAGAGACCAGGCAATACACCAGACTTAGGGTAAAGCAATTTGGGGTTTCTAGTTGGGCCAAGAGATTGCAAAGCTATCCTGAGCTGATGTAGACCATACATTAACTGCCAAGGCTGAGCATTGAAGCTGCTTCCAAAAACCAGCCAGCACAATGTTAATCCTAGTAGTAAAAGAAGCTTGCAAATATCAACACCAGTCATCTTTGTAGCACTGCAATCTTGTTTTCTATTTTGTGCAAGGTGTGTGTCACTTACAGAACTCAAACCATAGATATCATCTGAAAGGAGGTTTTGATGGATATCAGACAATCACATGGGTCAGTACTGCCATCTGGCATCAAAGGCAAGAGATGTCCAGAGTTGAAGAGTATGCAGCTACTTCCTATCCTCACTTGCTGAGATGTTATGGTGAAGAATATTAGACTTTAGGCCCAAATTGAAGCCTTATGCAGAAAAGATAGCAGCTGTTGCACAATCATGTTATATGGAAAAAAACTTTGAGAAGGACACAGTGGGGAAATATGGACTACAAGCTTTCATAAATCCTGTTTGAAGATGGCCGATGTGACGTTGTAATAGTAGCAACCACTTCAGGACATTCATATCTCTGCTCAATGTTCCACTTGGATTGCACAGATTATGCTTGACCCAGCTGAAAAGAAGGCAGGATTCTGCCTGAAGATGGAAGATTTCACTGTAGAGCTGTCAGTGTGAATGAGCACTGATGGAAGTAGAGAAGGGCAAGGCACACTGCCCACAACTCAAGCCAATTAATGCTGTGGGCAGATTCCATCAGAGTCCATAAACTGTGGGTAAACTTTCCCTAGCAGGGGAGCTCTCCAGCAGGATTGTTCCTGGATCTTGGCACAGACACCCTTGTGGAGATTCTGGAGACATGTCAACCAACGAAAATATTTGTGGAATGGTCAAAGGAGCTTGTACCAGGTATTGGAAATGTGTGACTGGAACAGCAATAGGAACTACTGAAGCTTAAAAGTGTGGTGATAAGCCCAAGGTACAATCTGGGTGGTTAATACAAAGAGACTCTGGGCTCTCACCAGAAGTGTCACATCTGCAGAAGGCTTTTGCAACAGTGAACAAGCCATTTCCCAAATGGCCACAATATGTTCTGGAGAAAAAGAAAAATGATGGCAATGTGTCCAGAATGGCATTCAGGTATATATGCTGCCTCATAATCAGGTGGTTCTTTTCCATGTGTGTGGTGTTGTTGTTGTTTTTAGAAACCTGTGGTCCCTCAGGGCTGAAAGAGATTCAAATATAGTTTGAAGCATGATGAAAAGTGTTCACTTGTACCAATAGACCAGTGGTTTTCAAAGGATGTGTCAAGAGAGGATGGCAAGTATGGAGGAGAGATTCGAGGACAATCAAAGAAATATTTAAACATTTCAATGTGTTGCCAAAGTGTCAAAAATGGCCCTCAGGTGTAGATACGGACTCACAGCCAGGTGGCTCTTTTCAATGTTTTTTTTTTTAGAAATCCGTAGTACCTCCAAACTGAAAGTGTGATTCGAAGTATGATGAAAAGCGTTCACCTGCACCCTTTGCAGCTGAGGTAGACTGGCCAGGTTTTCCCCCAGAAGCTGACTACAGATGTCACTGGAATGGCTGTCTGTTCAAGGATGGGTGGAATAGGCAAGCATCATGGGCCCTACCAAAGGGGTGTCTCCATGGAAAAGGTTGTGATATATTGAGTAAAGAGAAGATAGGGCTTCTGATCTGAGTGACAGTAGTTAGAATAGACTTGTGCTTCTCCCGGGGCCTACCAAGATCTTGAAGGCCTTGTCTCCAAACAGGTTAGTTCCCAAATACAAAGCTATAAATAAGTTTATTCTGGATGTATTATCTGCATCCCAATGGCAAAGCCAGAGGATCTGACATGTAACAACATCATCAGCCATTGAGTGGGCAGTAAAGTGTGTGGCATCCAGGGTTACATCTTGCATGAAAGCGGCTGCTCAATGAAGTTGCAGCAAGGCTTTTCAAACCTGCTCTGGTTCTTGATATTGATCACTCAACAGTTCATCATTAGGAGATGATGAACTAAGGACATCACTGTAGCCAGTTTTGACACTAAATTGCATATATAGTTGGAAAGGGGGACTACATATTCCTTTCCCCTTACTCACTTACAGCTATCAATGCAATCTAGCCCCTATGCCAGGGACCAGCAGCAATCTGGTGAGTGTGTGATGGTGGCAGGGAATGGGGGGGGGAGAGGCTGACCCAGGAGAGGGGCCTAGCAATTTTGGGGGTTTGGTGTCACCCATAAGGCAGGAGGCAGGGTAGGAGGAATAGAAAGGGTCAAAGCAGTCAGATATGGAGGTGGGGGCACAGGTTGTGTTGGAAGTGGAGGAAGAGGCTGTTTGGGTGAGTGGCAGGCTGGTCAAATCACTGCAATCTCCTGTCTCCTAGAACTAGGAGAGGCTTGAAGAGGGAAGCACAGTGACAATTTCCATGCAGAAAAAAAATCTCCAGTTGCTTGAGCACACTCCATCAGACAAAGGAACATAAGATCGGTGGAGCTTCAAGTGCTCCACTGGGCACAAGCCAAGAAAAGTTAATACCATCTATGGAGATGCTAGAAGTATGTGTCCATGTGTATCTGGTGCTGTAAGTGTGTGCTTTTGTCAATAAAGAATTAACAGTCGGCTGTTTGCCTTCCTTGACTGGGTGTGCTCAAGACACCCCCATGAGTGGAAGAACAAAGAAGTTACAACCATGGCTTGCAAACGTGAAGGAAAAGAATGCCTGTTCCTTTGGTCAACTGATTTGTCCCAGAGAGTGTTCTAATGTGGTAACACAATGGACAAACCAATCATAAATATGTTGCAGCACAGCAGTTAATAGTAGTTAACCTCGGACTACAGATGTGTACTACCTCCCAACCAACAAACCATGCCTCGTTTTTATAAAAGTGTCAAGTATCTTTGAGTACCTCCAATTACTTGATTTCAAATTATTTTTATATTCATCTATCAAAATTAAAGCACAGAAAACAAACACACTTTTTTCTGGATGATACTTCTTTGTCATGAATGTGTTGGTGGTGATTTCCAGTTATAACAGATTTGTAAAAATACAATAAAAATATGTTCTGTTTTCTTAAAATCCTATGGTTAAGAATTTACAATAAAATAAAATTGCATGTAGTGAAATTATACTCTGAGAACTGTTTACATTACAGACGCTTCAGGTTACAGACTCCGCTAACCCAGAAATAGTACCTCGGGTTAAGAACTTTGCTTCAGGATGAGAACAGAAATCGCACGGTGGCGTGGCGGCAGTGGAAGGCCCCATTAGCTAAAGTGGTACCTCAGATTAAGAACAGTTTCAGGTTAAGAACGGACCTCCAGAAAGAATTAAGTTCTTAACCCGAGATACCACTGTAGTTATGCAAAAGATTAAGGCTTGCTGCTGGCAATATGGATCAACATGCTCAGCAAATGGCTGAGCAGTATTGATAATTCTAGGCTATTTGAATACCCCCTGAAGGCAAGCATCATATTATGGGCCATGTTTTTTTCATCCACCCCTTATGATGCACTTAATTACAACAACCCACAGGCAGCCACTGGGCAAAACATAAGCAAGAGCCCAATCTAAGATGAGTGAAAGTGAGAAATGGTTGGTGGGAAATTTCTGTCTCACAGATAATTCTATACACATGTATGAGACAGCCATGAAAAACAAACCAACCATGATCCACTTGAAAAATGTACTGGCATTCAAAACTAGGAAAAATCTCCACACAACAGATTGCATTTTAAGACTTACAAGCAGATTTCAACTTATGGAAAGTGCTTTATTGCCTCTTCCTTTCCATCACAATACCTGGCAACACCCCTCCTCAAAATGCTACACCTGAAGTTGGGGATCAGACTATTTCCAGCCTGTCACTTTTACATATTTTTGTTCCTAAGTCTATTCCGTAACATTTTAGCATTTATTTGCAAAATTGTTTTTTGATATATATTTTTCAAATTATGAATCTCAAAAGGCATTTTTATACTTTTCCTCTGAATCGAGAACTACAGCTGGATGAACAAATGAATAGAAATCAATTGACCCACACCATAGAAGCGGAAAAGTTTTCATTTCTGCAAGCAGCTCTTTGAATCCAATTCAGCAGTTCTTGCATCATAAAGAGACTAGTGTGTGATATGAGGCTTACACACAGTTCCTGATGGGTCAGAGAGTTCCATGTTTTTCTTAAGCTCTACTTAAATCAATGGGGCTTAAGTGCATATTAAGTATACAGAACACTATTAGGCCGTGCTAAGAAGCAGCTAGTTGTTTATTACTGTCATCCTATCAGAGGCATCTAAAATTTTAAATACCATAGTTTTTTAAACAGTTAAAGAATACCCCCTAGATAGGAGATATGGCACCTTATAAAATTTATGAAAACAAATCACTGTACATGGAAAAAAATTAACAAAAATTCCAGCTGCTAAATTAGAATATTGGTTAATAATCTGAACTAGTTTTATACTTGGCAACATTAAATCCATCTTAGTTATCTGTCTTCATTAACAGCATGTGCTAGAAACCATATATAATATAAAAGAACAAACTAAGAAAGAAATGCAGTTAAGTGTAGAAATAAATAAATTTATTTAAAAACGTAAGGGAGAGGGGGATACTCACCAAGAACAGTGTCCGGAATGCACTTATATCTCCAAAGAATTCCTCAACACTAACAGTTTTGGGATCGAAACAGAAGTAGTCCCCCAAATTGTCGTATAACTTGGTCATATTGTTGTGCATGTTAGATAACTTCTCGTACTGCTCTCTAGCACTCTTCGCAAAGCTGTACACTTAAAGTTAAGGAAGTTCAAATAAAATCAGTAGCAAAACAGTTTAAAATAAGATTGCTTTATCACTTAAATGCATTCCTCCTAATTACTGAATTTGTTAATTGATGATTTTATATAGAAACCATGCTTCACACATTCTAATATGCTTTAAGCACAATAAAATCCACCAGGCTATTGTTTTTTCACATGTGCCCAACATGACTTTACTTTCTATAGAACTGCTGATTGTATGGCCATGTATGCAGGTTGTGCTCCTTGAGTCTGGTCTTGACCAAAGTGTGAACACGGAATCTGCAAAGAATAAGGAAATAACATCACTTATAGAAACACATTTTTCCCATGAGATCAGCAGCAAGTCTAACCAGTTTATTGTGATTTACTTATTTTAAAGTGGTTTTACTTATAACACAACAAGAAAACAACACATAAGCCATGGTCAAAAAACAATGTAAAAGATTATCTGATTACTATGCAAAATAAATAAATGAATAAAAATTATTCCACATATAGTAATATACAGATAATAGCAGCTATCTACTGTCGTCTTCTTTTTGCCATTTTTCTTAGCTATCACAAGACATTAAAGCTCAATACATCTGGAACAAAAAGGCAGATGACCATCATTGGTTTAGATGGTTTCTATATTACATTTATCTATTCACACGTTGAAGTCAGGTGCAGGGAAACTACCAGAATATGTTTGCAGGAAAGCATTTTTTCAACCATCAAAATGGTCAGATACAAATAGCACATTCATAAATAAGAAATATGGACTTAATTGCCTCTAATCCTACAACACTGCAGCTTTGACTATTTGGGGGCTATTTCAAACACAAGTAGGGAACCCTAAAAATTGTGGTAGAGCAATTAAATGTATACTTAATCCTCCCAGCAGAATAAGTAGCTTACAATATTTTAGAAGTGGGGGTGTTAGCAATACAAATATTTGTTCAAACACAGGATTTTTTTCAGTGCTGTTGGCTGAATATTAGTGTGCCTTCCCATGCAGTGAAGTAAAATTAAACAAGGAATGGCTTGCAATTGTTCCAAGTGCCACTATTCTGTTATAGTAAGCACACTGCAGCTTTTTATTAGCAACTGAAGAGGACTGGAAATCAACCTGAGATCTACTTAACCTTCACAACAATTGCAGTTACAAATTGCATAATTGTTACCTAAAGCGGAAGGAAGCAATCTCACACAGAAGTTAGACTTTTAGAACAACGTGAAGGCAAATAAAGGTTAACATTCTATTAAGAGAGTAATTAAGGCATATTGCTCCCATTCTTCTGTTTCAAATTAAATAAATGTTTCATTTAATTATTTTTTTAAAAAAGTTGTTGAAAATGTAGCTTTTCATTTTAACCAACGGCAGGTTGAATGGTTGTGTTATAGTGGTGGCTTTAGCCTTGAACAAGCTGCTATTTGCAAGTGGCACACTGACTTTGGAAAGCTTTTCCGTATCAGGTGTGAGTTGCACCAACATTGACTGAGTTTCAGCAACAGGAAACAACTGGGCTGCTGACTCAAGCATTTGACTAAAGGGTGTTTCTCACCTGGTTAACATAGTTGTGTCTAAGTATATTGTTGTTTTTACTTAAGCTGCATTTAAATGAAATGTTCCTTTATTGTAATTTAATGCTGTATCTTACTCTGGGATTGTGTGAACAATGAATAATTTAAATAAATTAAGTGTTTGCTGCACACCGGTACTGCATTTTCCGTATTTCTGCCAATGTTCTTCTAGAGAGCACGCCAAATCTTTAAAAGTCAGGCCAATTTATGTATCTTTCTGTCTATAAAACTGCTGTTTAGATGTACACAACATAGAGACATCCAAATACAAAGCACACAGAAAGGGGATGCACCAGAGTTTTGCTACCTCATATTTTAGACTCGACCTGTCAAAGTTTTGGCTTCTGTTTTAAACCTTTTTAAGAATGTAATCTTGATGTGCTGTGAATAGAGTGATAAACTGTAGAGTCTTCCAGTGATATATTCTACTTATTGTTTTTAGGTAACTGATTTCTAATAAAAAATGAAGCACCTCTTAAAATCGTGTTTGGTGGGGCAATGGATCAAACATTCATAGTTCTTTTAACGTAAAGAATTATAGACAAAGCATTGCAGAGAGAAATGGTAAAAAACACTTTTTAAAGTTGAAACTACAATAAGGTTTCAGACATAAAGGGGGGTTGAGACAAAATGAAGAGAAATTTATATATATCTGAGATCCAAAGAACTATGAACACAGCTCCAAGAGTCTAAGTGGGCTATGGACTTCTATTTCCTTCAAAGAGCTGTTCTGCACCACACCCCCATCATACCACAGGTTAACTTATTTTGAAACCCAGGAGAGCTTCAAAATCAGTCATGTAAGGTTGATGGACATAGACTAGAGAGATCTCGATTCAAAAATCTGCTCAGCCACAAAACTTACTAAGCTACCTCGGTGCAGTGCTTTTTACCTTAACCTAACCTGATGCATAGGATGGTTGATATGTTGAAGAAGTTTGGGAATGATGGTGGAAACCATGTACACTGCTCTGGACTGGGTAGGGAAAATAACTTTCTCGGTGGCTAAAAGTGTCAAAAAAATCCATAAAACCTATAACACAACACAAGACTTAGAAAACAAACAACCTTTAATGCAAGATACAGAAATGCATCTAAACTATATAATAATGTTGTCTCTCTTGACTGCTAAGATGCATGCAAGTGAGGTTTCCATTATTCAGCTGTCAAGGAACTCCCATTTCAAAATGTCGAGTGCCTACTGCATTTGTCTTTTCCCTGTGGAGGAACTGTATGAGGGGATTTCACTTGCTCACTTTTATCCGACCTGCTTCCATCTTAAAGTGGCTGTCTTCTCATCTTATTAGCAGAAAGTAAAAGCCAACAGGCAGGGAAGCAAGCAAAATGTGAGTCAAGAGGAAGATGTGTAAAGGAACTGAGAGGAGGAAATTAAATGTTGTTGTTGTTGTTGTTGTTGTTGTTGTTGTTGTTGTTGTTGTTATCATCATCCAGTAGCACCTTAGAGACCAACTAAGTTTGGCTCTCCCAGTTTGTTTTGGGCCCCACTCATCAAGCAGGCCACATGCTGGATCTGATCTTTGGGGCTGGCATAGATGTGATCATACTCCCCGCTGTGGAAGTGCCATGGTCCGATCACTACGCTTTGAAAGCCAAGATTGACTTCCCGCTCCTCCCCGGCTCGGGTGGCGAACCTATTTGGGCTTGTCCGCAAAAACTGATGGATCCTGATAGATTCCGACAAGCCTTGCGGAACCCTGCTCCTCCTGGCGACTCATTAGATGACCTTGTTGAGGACTGAAATAACTGGCTCTTGGCAGCCATTGATGAGATCGCGCCTAAGCGCCCTCTGCGACCCCGTCAAAACCGGGCCCCTTGGTTTACTGAGGAGCTCCGGAAAATGAAGCGGGATCTCAGACGGCTAGAGTGAGTATGGCGACGGACTCGTGACGGAGCCTCAAGAACATCTTATAGGATGCTTATGAAAGCCTATGAGATGGCTATGAAAGCTGCTAAGAAATCTTACTTTGCAGCTTCCCTTGCATCCGCTAGCTCTTGCCCGGCACAACTTTTTAGAATAATTAGGTCAATAACATTCTTAGGAGGACAACCAAATTTAAGCACAAATTCGACCCACAGCTGTGAGGCATTCACGAGCTTTTTTGTGGAGAAAGTCCTGTTGCTCCACTGTGACCTCCCTGCCAATTTAGATACAGTGACTGAACTGGAGGCCCCTCGACTGACTTCAGGTCCAGTGTTGGACCATTTCGATCGGATACTCCCTACTGATGTGGATAGATTCCTCCAAGTTGGTAGGCCCACCACCTGCCTCCTTGATCCGTGCCCGTCTTGGCTGATTAGGGAGTGTCCAGATGTTGCGCGGACCCCCCTGGTTGAAATGATCAATTTGTCCCTTGACACGGGGACATTCCCAGGGGAACTGAAGGAAGCAGTGGTGTGTCCACTCTTAAAGAAAACTTCATTAGATCCCTTAGACCTATCCAATTACCGCCCAGTTTCAAATCTTCCATACCTGGGTAAGATAATTGAGAGAGCGGTTGCTGAACAGCTTGGTAGGTTTCTGGAGGAAACATCGGCATTAGATCCATTTCAGTCCGGTTTCCGTCCTGGTTTTGGGACGGAGACGGCTCTGGTTGCCCTAACAGATGATATCTGTAGACAACTGGATCGAGGCGGGTCAGGACTGCTGATCCTTTTAGATTTGTCAGCAGCCTTTGACATGGTCGATGATGATCTTCTGGACCACCGCCTCACAGACGTGGGGATATAGGGCATAGCCCGTAACTGGTTGTGCTCTTTTATCTCTGGTCGGGGACAGAGGGTGGCACTAGGGAGGGAAATGTCGTCGCACCACTCCTTGGTGTGTGGAGTGCCGCAGGGCGCAATTCTCTCCCCAATGCTTTTTAACATCTTTATGCGCCTCCTTGCCCAGATTATCCGGAGCTTTGGGCTGGGCTGTCACCAATATGCTGGTGACACTCAGCTCTATCTGCTGATGGATGGCCACACCGACTCAGCCCCGAACACACTGACCAGATGCTTGGAAGCTGTGGCTGGATGGTTTCGTGGGAGCCGATTGAAACTAAATCCTTCGAAGACAGAGGTCCTATGGCTAGGTCGGGATGGCATGGGGGTGAGGGACCAACTCCCTTCTCTTGCGGGGGCCCAATTAGTGCCATTGCCTTCCGTTAAGAGTTTGGGTGTAATCCTTGATGCCTCCCTTTCCATGGAGGCGCAAGTTACAGCAACAGCCAAGGCGACATTTTTCCACCTTCGCCGCATCAAGCAGCTGGTCCCTTACCTTTCCTGCCCCGACCTGGCCACAGTGATCCATGCAACGGTCATCTCCAGGCTTGACTACTGTAATTCGCTCTATGCGGGGCTGCCCTTGAAACTGTCCCAGAAACTCCAGCGGGTGCAGAATGCTGCAGCGAGGCTCCT